AGAAACCGGACCGGGCACTTTTGGGGCAGAGGGATTTGTCCCATTCCCTAAGAAAATCAGGGTACAGCCTGCTGGGGGCTGTCGCTGCCAGCAACGCCGAGCACGGGGCCTTGCTGGGAAGTGAAACGCAGCGAGCGAGGAAGGCTGAAACGCCGCCAGGCCAAACTATCGTGTGGGAAGAGACCCAGACCACCGCCCTGCGCTGGGTCTCCCTCACTGCACAGAGACCTGACGGCCCTCGGGCAAGCGGCCCTGCGGGGCAGTAACTTCGGCCTTCCCGAGCACTGCGCCAAGGAGCAGCGTTGCGATGGCGGGGGGGATATTCTGAGGGGGCGGCTGAAAGGCAGGTGCTTCAGCAGGGCACCCGGGGCTGCCGGGGGCTGCCGGGGCCAGAGGAGGTGTCCCCGGGACCAGCGTTACAGATTTACGCACGCTGGCCACTGTAGCAGGGCCTGGCTGTAGGATCCCGCTCAGAATGCCAAGTCCAAGGGAAGGTTTCCAATTCCTCTGTTTTTAGTTCTTCGGTTACAGCTCTAGCTGGGTGCCTCTGGAGAGGGGCCCCTGCCCCAGTTCACGCCTCTCAGTTAGACCTGTTTACCCATCACCTGATCCCCAGGTCCATCTCTTAATTCTGGTCACTGCTCTCTTGATTTCTTACTGGTTTTCACTATCACTAGGCTGGCCACCTTCTGAAGTCACTTAATTCTCCTGGAATTGTCTCCTTGATCCTTATCTTCTTCATTCCGCTCCTATCTGCTGCATTCAGTGAGTTCTTTGTTAGCAGCATTAGTTTTGTCAAAAGTTTACGCTTGGTCTGCTCTCGAGGCTTAAGGCTTCAGCTACTTCAGCAGCTAATGCGAAGCCACTACTGCTAAATGAGACTACTCGGGGAGAAGAATACAGTTAATCCAATTTCTTCTATAACGATGATAGTTCTCTCGCTTGCTCCTTACAACAATCAGTTTTTTGTCAGCGTGAAACACCTGTATTTTAGACCTGGAGGAAAACAGGGCTGTCATGAGGTCCTTCTGTGTTAAAATGCTTAAGTAATCTTAACTTGCTTTTGCTATGAAATTGTCTTAGCAAAAAAGTGTAAGTCTAATGATATCTAATGATCTTTTCAGTAACAAGGAGGTTGCAGTAACTGCTTTTCCAGTAGATCCAACATGTAGGTGCTTTATGTGATTCAGGCATGCCGCAGGTCAGGCACCAGACTCCATAACACCCAGGCCATCGCAGGGCTCAAGGGTTGCAGTGCTGCTTTGCCAAGCTTAGTCACTATGACTTTGCAAATAGAGAGGGGCTAGTGTGCAAGTAAACTGCACCTAAGACGATGTGGAATGGATTTGTTAGGGCTGCAGGCAGGCTCTCCATCGGCCCCAGCAGCACCCGGAGGAAGGAGCTGAAGGAAATCCTCCTGCAGAGCAGGACCCCCAGCAGCACCACACGGTTTGCCACCGCTCAGAAGGCATCCAACAGCAGCAGTCTCCATGCAGGGCCGTACCAGGAGCAGAAGCCTGAGCAGAGCCCCGAGGTGCTGTCCCTTGCTCTGGATCCCCTGGAGCAGCAGTGGCTGCTGACAGTGGCCCAGGGCGATGCGGACAACATCATCAGGCTGCTGGACCTGGACCCCAGCCTGCTGACCAGGAAAGACTTTGTGACGGGCTTCACCGCTCTCCCCTGGCTTTTCCACCATGAGAGCTTCATCCAGGTCATCTCCCACGCCCAGAAGAAGGGCTATCCCGTCAACATAAACATCCCCACGGCCAGCGGCGGGCTCACCCCCTTGCACCTGGCCACCCTGCAGGGACACGAGCTGCTCATCAAGGTGCTGGTGGGAGCCTACGGGGCGGACACCAACCGCAGGGACCACAACGGGCGCAAGGCCTGGCAATACCTGAGGGCAGACACCTCCAGGGAGCTGAAGGAGCTGGCGGGGGCCTTGGAGGAGGACTTGGTCCAGCTGCGCTCTCACAACACCAACAACAACTGTAAGTCATCCAGAGAGGCCAGGGCAGGGCGGGACTGCGTGGACTCCGTGGCCGAGGGGAAAGCCCAGCGCTCCTGGAGGCTCTCGACCCTCCGAGACCTTGTCAGGCAGGCATTCGCCTTCTTCCAGGAGCGCTGAAGCTCCCCTGGCCCATTCGCCTGCAGACCTGCGCTGAATAGCAGCCGGAAGAGCCTGCAGGGAGCTGGGAACTTGGTGAGGGCCGGCACTCGGGATCCTGGCCAAGAGGGGATTAACTCCCTGCACAGGGGCACTGTGGCCGCCCCAGCTCTCGCACAGTCTTTGGGGCTGTGCCAGTGTGTGTGTGGGCAACCGTGGCCATCGGGAGCACTGCCCCAGGACAGCCCTTCCCAAAGACCGCCTGTCCCTGCTGATGGGGACTCCTTGCCGCAGCCTGGCCGCCCAGGGGGGGACGCTGACCCACCGCGGGGGTGGTGTCTGTCCTGTGCTGGGGTGGGTGTTCTGGCCGCCCGTCCTGAGCTGCCGGCAGGCTCTGTGTGCGGCTGTAGGTGGGTCACGCACAACTCGGTGACTCGGTTCTCCCACCGGTGAAACGAGCCTGTTGGCACTGCGGTGTTCTGGCCGCCCGTCCTGAGCTGCCGGCAGGCTCTGTGTGCGGCTGTAGGTGGGTCACGCACAACTCGGTGACTCGGTTCTCCCACCGGTAAAACGAGCCTGTTGGCACTGCCACGGCTCCCAGTAACGCTGTGAGGTTGGACTGGTTGTGGCGCTGCGGGTGCCTGGATGGAGACACTGGCAGAATAGAATTAAATATTTCGCAACCATACTCAGAGATGCCAGAGGCCTGGCACCAGGCTGACGATGGAGAAGCAGCTATGGCTTCAGAAACAACTCCCCCCCAAACACTTTTTCACGTACGCTTCTCTGCCGGCAGGGAGAGCAGGTACGGACAAGCAGACCATGCCACCGAGCTGCAAAGGCCTCCCAGCTCCGTGCGAGATCCCCGGGTCTCTGCCACACGTGCCGCCTCTGGTTTGCTGTTTGTTTACGAGAGGTAGACCTGTTTCTCAGTAAAGTAAGAGCCGGAGTGCCCAGTTTGCAGAGGAGGCCGCGCCCAGAGAAGTCCTTAAGCGCAAGACAAGTGCCCCCGGCAGCCCGTCTCTGGGGTCCCCACTGTGGGGCAGCCTGAGAGGCTCAGCCCCACAGGGGATAGGGCCAGAGCAGAGGAGGCAGGAGGGACGCCCAATAGGGTGGCATGCGATGGCTCCTGTGGGGACTGGAGTCTAGGAGCAGCTCTGGAAAGATGACTCGTTGCTCAAAACCATGGAAAAGGTATGAAGGCTGTGAGATTATTGCTACTGAGGTCACGCTCAAAAAATGAAACTCTTGAGAAACATCCCTACAGGAGCACAACCCCGTGCGTATGTACCGGTAACTGCATTAAACACGCAAAGCCTTTGCTTGCCTGTCTGTGTTTTATTCACCAAACGGAGCTCTGCTCAGCTGATTTCAACTTGCTTTTCACATTCTGGAAGGCCAGGACTGCTTCAAAATATCTGCAGACAAACAACGGCTTCTTCCTGTTTTTCATCAGCATGAGACCATTTCTACCCCCTTAAACAGCAGTCCCATGTGGGAAGTGACTCTCGGGCGGCAGCCGGGGAGTTTCTGTTCCCCATCGCAGAGCGGCAGCCCTTGCGGAGACGCCTCGCTTCGGAGGGGAGTTGTGGTTTCTTTCCAGCTGCCTTTCTGGGGGTCTGCAGGGGTGACCGAGGGATTCAAGATCATCTCTGGCCTGGTGGCGCAGGTGAATTCGCACCTTGATGCAGAAAGATGTGCGGGTAACTCTCTCGGGGGAACCTGAGCCTGTGGGCTTCACAGACCCTGAGCAAATGCTGTTTATATTCAGATTGTGCTCCGAAATGCTGCTCGGGCAGCGGAATAACCCAATCTGCAGGGGCGATACATGGAAGAACAGCCTCCAGATGAGCGGACAGTGATCCAGTGACTGGGTAGTACCCAGTCCAGGTGACTGCGTGGGCACATAGATGTGTCTGGGCACCTTTTTAAGGTCAGCAGCGGAGACATACAAAACACACTGGGAATGGATTTAATGCCTGATTTACTACAGTTTTGTAACGCTTTAACTATAATCGATTAAAGATTATGGCAACATGGCTCCTTCCAGAACTTCTCAGGCCACATCCATGCCACGGGACAGCAGGCTGGCTTTTAACAGCTCTGGTCACACCAGCACAAACTCCATGAAAAGCACTGGTGTCAAAACATCTGCAATCTTTAGTTTTGGTAACAGGTGGGTGCACGCCTGACGAAGTATTTTTTGACCTGTTAGTCCTCCGTCATCCTTTCACAGCGGCACACTGTCGGGGAGAGGGCACGGGATCGCTCTTACATCCTCCTCTGAGTAAGGCGCAGAGTAAACAGTGGAATTCATGAGAATTTCCTTGAGGGAGCTGTTTCCTTGGCACTTGTACCTGCAGCTTTAGTCACACGCCACCAGGAAACCTGGACTTCAACATTTCATTCAAAAGTGAAATTTAACTGGCAAATGCTACACTTAAATACAATGATTTTTAGTACTTGGCTCCCCTTGACAGCTAACCAAAACCTCCTAAAGGCAGCTTTTCACCTCATCTTTTGGCTGCGGGTTTGAAGCTGTATTCTGCTCTGAGGCAAACTAGGCAGGCGCTTCAGAAGGAACAAGACCAGAGCCCCGCTCCTCTGGGCGGTGTTACCATGCACCCATCGACGCCAGCCCCTGCCTTGCCTGCCCTGCAAGGGTTCCTCTCCACCGAGTGGAAAAAAAAGAATCTTCTTCAAATCGCCGTATCCTTTCTGCTGCTGTACACTGTGCTTGCCCCAAACACCGCTTCCAGTGACCCACCCCTCTGTCTCGTGCCGTTTATTTTCGTACCTACAGAAGGTCAGGTTTGGAAATAGAGACACGTTTAAAAAATATTCCTGAAGTATACAACCAGCTCTAACTTTGCTTCTCAGTCAGAAAAGCATATCCACCAAAATGAATGGACTACAATACGCAAATTATTTTTCTTCTTTAACGCTTCCGTTGATGTCTCAGTTATCGGGTGTTAGCCCAGTTCCGCAGAGTTCCCTGGTCGTCCCCCCCCCAAGTTCTTGCAGGGGAGGGCAGAGAGCTGCCACAGGAACAACAGAAATCATTCAAACCCAGAGGTATTTGTGTTTCCTGATGTTCTGCAGAAGACCGATTTTAACCCACTTTTAATTTGTACTAAGTTTACTTTATGCTATCCCTTAATGTCCGATTTGAAAAGCAGATTCATTCAAATGGGGAAAAATAATACGAGGGCTTATTTTCCAAAGAAGCTCCTTGGTAGAAGCTGCTTCCATCTAATAAAAATAGCACGGTAATGACAGTAATAGGCAGACTATCTAATAAATAGTAATAAATAGTTCAATCTGTTGCTCAGGAAAGCTTTCCCATGAATGCCATGGAGAAAACTGTCTCTTTCCATTCTGAATTCCATAAAATTACTTTTTTCCACCTCAGCCAGGTCCTCATAAACTCTGCGAGCAGCTTTGCCTGCCAGCAGCGGTGATGGGGGGAGGCAGGGGGTGGTTGGCTGGGCTCCAAGCCTGATCTTCGCTCCTCAGCAGTGCTGTTATTTCCAAAACACTTGCTTTGAAGAGAACAGAAGGGATTTAAAAAACATTGGGGTGAAAAGTGTTTGCAGCACGTGGGCCTCTGTTGAAACATCTCTGGCAATGCTGTTTGCTGCTTTCCTGTTGCAGTGACTTGCTGCTTCCCCCTGATAATGAAGCAGAAGCTAGATTCTTACCAGACAGGAAAAGAAGCTAGGAGATACCTCTGCAGTGTCCTGAAGTTGGTAAAAATCCCAGCCTTGCTCTCCTGTGCTCCTCGGAACCTCCAGGACACCTCAGGAGGGGGAGACTGTCACAAGCTCCAAGTGAGGCGTGCGTTCGTTATGCATTTATGCGTCTTTGGCATATGCTGCTGCCCAGCACTATTTGCTATGAATTGTAACGCGAAGGAGATGGATCTATTTACCTTCAACATGAAAAGGAGCAACACAGGTGTGGCAGCTTGCAGCTTCCTCAGGAAGCTGCCACCCCGTAGCTGAGCCACCGCGGCAGGCTGAACCCAGCAAACAGCACCGGAGCCCTGCACAGCCCTCCGTGTCAGGACGGGCTTTGCCACAGCCGAGAACAGGCTCACGCCTCCAGCTCTTCCTGCTGCCCAGAGCATCCGTCCCAAGGGAACGGAGCAGCAGCCGCGCAAGGCCCAGTGCTGCGTCACAGCCACCACCTCCGCTTCCCTGCGGTGAACGGGCCGTGGTTCACCAGCCCCAGCAGAGTGCCCAGGTGGGGAAGCTGCAGTGCTGACTACTGGGAGCGGTTCTATCCCTTCTTTCCTCTCTCCCCTTTTTTTAATAGCTGCTAACTCCTCCTTCGAGCAACATCTCCTCGCTGCCCTTCTGCTGAGAATATCTCAAATTAAGCTCCACCTGTGGCTGGCATCAAGACCAACTCGATCAAGCCAACACAGAGCTCCAAACAAATTCAGAAGGTTATTACATATTCTAACGTAGACATTATGTACTACAGTCTGTAGGAGCACTGCCTTTCACAGGAAATAAATCTATCCACTGCCCTTGCTGTATTCTTCCCTTTCCTCCTTTCCTACCTCCTAAGTCAATTTTCCTTCCACCCGATCATTCCACTGCACCTACCCCCAGGCCGGATCTTAACCCAGGCTCCAGGGGCTGCCCGGCCCCACATCCCACCCGAGAGCAGCTCCCGATGCTGGGGCCAGACCCACACGGAGTACGAAGCTGCCGTCCTCAGCCGACTGCAGGCGTGAGGCTCCCGAGGAGCTACCCGCAGCTGACACAGGCAGCTACTCAGCTGCAGAACCGGTAGTCTCACTATTCAAGTGTCACCAATTCTTCTCAGCGCTGTGTTCTTGCTCTCTGGGCAAGTATTTCTGTCGTACTTCTTGGGCATGCAGCATTTCAGCATTTTCCCTGTACCGCAGGGCCATCACTCGCGCTGTTCAACACCTGCAGTGCAGACACGCTCTTCAATTAATTTCAAAATGTTATCTGACCACAGGCCTCGCGGCACATCACTAAACGGTCTACCCTGGATGTGCAGAAGGGAGATACTGGTGGAGTAAAGAACCTGCAGCTGCAGCAGAGGCCAGCCACAGGGAACTTACATGCATCGAATGTGGAAGCACAGCGTAACAGAGGGCGGTAACTGGAGATTGGCTTGGTTTAGCAAAGGGTTTTGTTAGTTTGGATCCCCCTCACCTAGCACAGCCCCCCTCAGACGGGAATCCACCTCACCCCAGAGGAGTGTTTTCAGTGTGCTTTGCTTTCCAGCCCCCTAAGATGCACCCAGTGGTTACACAGACATGCCTTTTGCAAATTCTGACAATACTGCTTACTTTTCTTAGTAACATTTCATAAATGTACCAGAAACATAATCCGGAGCCTTCCCTGGGCTTAAGTAGTAAGAGGCTGACACTCCAGTTACTGTAGCCACGGCGGCCTACGGATCATAAAGTGAAGTCTGCATTTTTCAAACCTGCCTCTAAAAAACTTTTTTTTTTTTTAAAAACTATTTCATCTTGTCTAATTAAAGATTTTCTTCAAATTAACTCCTCTAAAATCAGTTCTGATTTTTACCCTTTTTTAAAAAAACTGGTATGCTTTGCTCTCAGAGGTTTACAGTCAGGGAGAATGAAGACACAGCCTACTGCATCTGAACAGAGCTGTCAAGGTTCCTCACAATAAGTGCGATTACATTCACACCAGTCTCAGTTTTTATTCTCTGTTACTATCCCACCATATACATATACCTGAAATAATTCCAACCAAGTCATTCAGGTCCATATTTATTAGCAAGCCTGTACACTGTCAATCATGATGCCTGAAAAGAAAGAACACTAATAGAACACAGTCTTCATGTTTCAGATGCAAACTACTTCAAGATCTTCCCAGTTAACATCAATAACCCAGACTAGCTTATAAAAAACCCCAAACATCTGGGATTGTAGTCCAGCACTACAGAAGGAATCACTCTGGGGTGGCTGAACGGCGCACGGGGTGTATCAGTCTGACGCAGAAAGACACGTGTCATTAGAGTTCCCAGGAGACAGTCTCACTCTTACAAGCCCAGCTTGGTCCTTCTCCAGTGCCTCCTTTTGGAGTTGTACCTAAGACAAAAGCAGTGTAAATTAGCCAAGCGCACACACACATCCGGAGATCCAGGCGGACTGAAACCACCTTTAGCTCAGTGGTGTAGGACTGAAATCTTTCTTACATGCTCTAGTGGCAAGCTGCCAACAATAATCAGATATGTACTTATTGTTTTAAATTTCCACCTGTTTACTTTCTTCATTCGCTGGCCAACCAGCACATTACTGTGACAGAATCTAAACCCCAAAGAGATAAAGATGCCTGCAGTGACGCACCAGCACTGGCGTGTGAATATCCTACCTCTTCTTTTGGAGACAAGACCCGTGATCTTGTATTGACTGTCCAATGATAATGAAAACTACCTCCTGAAAGTAGTTCACGGCCTAAAATTAGAACTATCATTTTTGTTCAAAATATGAAAGCAGAGCAGCACACGGAAAAGACCCTCTTCCAGGAAAATATATTTGTTTATGAGTATGTACTTGTACATGTTAAGAACAAATGGTTTCACCACCGTCCAGGTGAAACCGAAGACAGCATTAACAGAGTTACTCTCAGCAGGGAAATGGCAGTACTCCCACAGGATGAAGCACTGCAATTGCAGCCTGCTTTAGCATGCAGTCCGGATAAAACTGATAACCGAGGTACTGCAGTGTCACAAGACAAAGATTCATGATTTTGCCCCATGATGCAGTATTCCAAAGTATTGCAATTTAGCTAAAACAGAACCCTTTGTAAGTCGGTATCTGGAAGACAGGAATACAGTCTGGAGCATACAATACTGATTTTTCCTAGAAAGTGACAAGTTAGGAGAAGTACCGGGAACAGAACCTGGCAATTCTGTGCCGTTTCACTGCCAGAGCCAGCCACTGCTACTGTTCCGCTCCTCACTAACGAGCACAGAAAACCATCTGGGAGAAAGAATCTCGTTCCCTGAACAGTCTGGACAAGGGACTGGACGAGATAAAAACCCAGCTGCACTGCATGAGTGACCAAGTGATATTGTTTGCAGCTTTTAAACTAGAGGGCTCAGACATCCACCACCTCCTCAATGTCTCGTGTTTACCTAGTATTCTACAACACACTATTACTGTGTTTTCCTAAATACAATGCTTGAAAACAAATACTACAGGCAAGCAAAAAGGAACTGCTGCAAATTAATTCTGCAGACATGTGACAAGGGTCTGATACTATCAATCTGATCTCCCATACACCCAACTTTCCCTTTGCTCCCTTGCGCACAATCCTCTGTATCTCGGAACACCCACACTCAGTAAGGTGCCGCTCGCTGAAGATGTAGGGACGCAGATGGGCAGCTAAAAGAGAGGGGAAAGGTGTTGGGAAGGGGAATGTCAGAAGCAGAGAGGCTACCAGGGTGCAAACTCTGGAATTAATTATCCACACATCACACGTGCCATCACCCAACACATGTGGAGGCCTGCGGAGCACTGGAACGAACCGCACCACTGCAGAAGGAGATGGCAGGGCAGCCCCACATCGCCTCAAGGAAGCACCACGGGCTGGCGGTACCCGGCAGGGCTGTGCACCTGCACTACCACGCTCCAAAGGCATTCACCTCCACAAAATGGCACTTTTCCTTGCATAAACCCTTCTGCGGCATCAGCTTCTGACTTCAGTCCATACCGCACTGGCAGCCCGTGCGGTTCCTCGCCAGACAGCCGCTGCTCTTATTACCTGATCTTATTGCCCGTTTTCATGCGAATCCATTGCGGGATGGGCCGGTTCTGCTTCTGCTTCTGGGCAAGGAAGCGTTTGATCTTGAACGTCTTGTGGGACGACTGGAAGAGAGAGCAGCCGTTAGTCCCGCGCGGCAGCTGC